AAGTGAAAACAAAACGAAACATGACAGAAGTCGCCGCACGTTGTCGTCGATTAAAGAAACGCGACCCAAGAAACTACGTTCGTATGTTCATTCTATAACAGCAAACTGAACAGATTTAAGTGGGCAGTACAGTTTGAAATGTTGAAAAAATCAATTTTTTTCATCTTAAATAGCAGTCTAAAATCTTAAAAGTAACACTACACACGAAAGGTCCCAGCCTTTAAAACGAATTATTTTTCGACTTAACACTAGGTTTACGGACGCTATCTGTATACCTATTTCTAAGGACACCTGTCAAATTGACAGGTAAAGGAAACTACATGCCTTGTTTTCTTAACGATTAGTTTAATTTAACAACAATTATATATTATATTAACGGTCTTAATATAAGTTAACTAAATCTGTTATCATCGTATAATTGGAGCGACCTGTGGTAGTGGTTACATAGATTTTTTAGTATATATTAGGTGTAGTAAAAAGAAATCCATTATTTTTGTATTAGATGGATTTAGTGATCTATATCTCGCGTTGTACAAATGCGATCGGATTACGCTAGATGGCGTTTGAAAGATAGGATTCTCCACTAAAAATACTTCTTGAACAGTTTTGTGATTGTTTGACTCAGTATTGTTTGAGCGCGCATCATAAATGTACACCAGCAAAGAGAAAATGGGTCATATTTTACAGTTTTTCTTCGATAAAGGCGAAAACACAAGCCAAGCGGATGAAAATTTAAATAGTGTTTATGGTTCTGTCACTGTAACAGCCAATCACGCGCAATTTTGGTTTCGTCTATTCCGTTCCGGTAATTTTAATGTCAAAGATGCACCACGGTTTGGAAGGCCGATTGTCGAAAATATCAATAAAATAATGGAGATCGTCGAGTCTGACCGTCATGTAAATACTGTTTCGATTTCCCAGGAGTTAAACATTGAAAAAAAAAAACAGTTGGGAACCACTTGAATAGGGCTGAATACAAAAAGAAGCTCGATGTATGGGTGCCATGCGAGTTAATGCAATAAATCACATAGACCGAAATTCCTTCTGCGAATCGCTACTGAATCGCTACAAAATCCACCCATTTCTGCAGCGGATGGTAACTGGTGATGAAGAATGCATCACTGGCGACATCAAGCGCAAACGGCCGTGGTCGAATCACAGTAAGCCGACGTAAACGGTGGCCAAGACAGGATTCACGGTCAGGGAGGTTTTGCTATGTGTTTGGTAGGATTGGCAAAGAATTATCTATTATGAGCGGCTCTCTTACGGCAAAATTCTCAATTCGGACCTGTACTGTCAACAATTGAACTGTCTGAAGGAAGCAATCGCCCAGAAGTGGCCATTTTTGGCCAATAGGTGAGGAATTGTGTTTCATCAGGACAAGGCCGGGCCACATGCATCGATAGTAACTCGCCAGAAGCTCCGGGAGCATGTTGGGGTTGTTCTCATGCATCCACCTTATAGTCCAGACCTGGCACCAAGTAATTACCACCTGCTCCTATCTATGGCAAATGATTTTGCTGGTAAGAAATTCGCCTAAAGAGAAGTTTGTGAAAATTGACTGTCCCAGTTTTTTGCCAATAAGGACAAGGGTTCCTATGAGAGAGGCAAAGTGGAATTACCTTTAAAATAACAACAAGTTATCGAACAAAACGGTAC